GTGTGTGTGTGTGTGTGTGTGTGTGTGTGTGTGTGTGTGTGTGTGTGAGGCAATTCATTGTTCTTCAAATAGGCTTTTTGTCCTTTTCCTCAAAAATACAAATGTACAAATTTATTTTGCAGAAATTCAATGATTATAAGTGATTATAAGGAACAAAACATTTACTGGGATCAAGCCCACTCACACAAAGGCCTCCCATATTATGCATATGCAAGCGTGAGGGGGGGGGGGCGTGATTGTATTGTGGCTGTGGCCCCCCTTGGCGGCACCTCTGGTGATGCTCCATCAAAAAAAAAAAAAGCAGAGAGCGTTTAGTAACTCCTAGTTTCAGAGGTAAAGTCTCATTCAGTCAAACAAAGACTACATCCTATTATTGCACAAACGTTATGCAGGCTTTCGTCCAACAGGTCCACTGGTTGCATAAGCTGAAAACAAAGCATCTGTTTCTACCCCTAATTCTTTTCTTCCAAGCGAGCAGATTTACATCGTGACATGTCTGGGGTTACGCCTGACTGCATTCAGGCTGTTTGCTGGAAACGATGACGGACTTTCACGTTAATTAAATAAAAATCATTGTCTTTTCCATGTCTTTTTTTCATCATAGTAAGTTACATCAAATTATAAAGCCATGAGATGTCAAGACTAGCGTGACTAGACAGCTGAGGTACTGAAAAGGCACAGGAAACAGGAAAGCTCACAAGAGAACGAATGAGGTTATTTCATAACTGCTTAATTAATGAAGTATAAAGACACTGATTGAATCACAGCAGCACATCTGAGCCGTTCAAACGGTGACCCGATAACCTGACTGGGTGGTTATTCAAAGCAAACCACATCTGACACTTTAAAGTGAAACATATCCAGTTAAGTGTCAGGGATTAAAACAAGTTGAGGACATCCTTCAGAGTTTGGTGCAACTGGAGTACTCCCACTTTTTAATCCAACTTTGCTGTTGCTAATGAAAGCTTCTGGCCTCGTTCTCGTTCTCGTCCTTCCCTTTGCGTGAGAGCCTGTGTAGTTGTCCCAGAGTCCACACAAAATCATTGGAAGGAGTACAACTTTGTGACACTCATACACACACACACAGCTGGCATACAGTTGGAGGGGAGTTCAGTTTTAGCTGAGCAGGCATTTCCCAAAGTAGAGGAAGGAAACCCCAAATAAAAGCAATAAGCATCAATTTAATCTAATTGTCCTCACTAACGATAACCAAGGAGTTTAGCTTAAACTGGCCATTTTAATATAAATCTAAACCACCAAAGTAACACAAAAACATCCTTTTTTTTTTAAATGCAAATCGTGACTCGCATTGTTTTCGTGAAAGTGTCGGTGTCGGTGTGGGGCTTTAATCCTCCAAACAGTAAAAAGGTCTAACCTTTCCCTGCGGTCCACTCGGTTAGGTTAAGAGTTACAGTATCAACATGGAGCACACACACACTGCTGAGAGAAGTGACAAACAAACATTTAGAAAAATGTACTTACACAAAACTTCGATGGCGATTAAAGATCACCGTCAAAAACGCGTTGAAGCAACAAGTCTCTCCACCGTGTTTTCCTCTTCGAGGTGGTCCGAAAATGCTCCTGCGTGATCTCCAACAAGTCCCGGCTGAGCCAACTACGGAGAGGAAGACAGCAACGTTTTCAACCGTCATCTTGTCCAAAAAAAAAAATCGTTATTCGTGCGTTATATATATATATATATACATATATATATATATATATATATATATATATAAATTTATTTTTTTTAGTTCATCCCGAATCCCGCTGGGACTTTCTGCTGATCTGAGACCGGACAAAACGGCCGCTGGTGCTTTTTATAGGGGCGTATGATCGGGCTGCTTTTCCAAAAAATGTGAAAAATGTCAAAGATTTTCGCTGCTGTGTCAAAGCCATCGGCTGCAACAGTGAGTGTTCAAAGTGAGCACCCTGTTGCAAACAGCGAGCAGAATCGGCCATCTATCTCAGCGATGGAAACAGACGACCTAAACGCTACTTCACGCCATGGGATAAATAGTAAACACCTAAATAAGCAGACATTTTTAATAGATTGTCTAATATTTCCAAAGACGTCAACTAAAACCTCGCGAACAGAAGTCCACAACCAGTTTGGATACCTGCAACTACCATTGAAACTTACCTCGTTATTGATAGCTCATATAAAAAAAATGTCCCTTTTTTTTTGGAGTAATGGGATGTTACGGGGTATTTCTTTTTTAATACTATGTCAAGTTATTCTGGTGTTTCTGGGCCAGCCAGGAAGGTGTAGGTGAATCGCTTCGCGCACTGACAGAGATGCGAAGAATGCTCGGAATGAGAAGAGGAATGAAATGAACGCAAAGAGCGAGTTTGCGTCGGGGCGGAGCGAGAGGTGGCGTCATCCCGAGCCGAGGAGCCAGCCTGGGCAGCGGGCAGCAGCAGCAGCAGCAGCAGGGACAGGGAGGGTTCAAAACAGCCCGAGAAATGACGCCTTCAGGGACTCCACCAAGCTCAGATTTTACAGCTCCGCAGCACCCTGAAGCCCACTTGATAATAGCATCGATCCAGCTGCAGGTATCAATACAGAACAAAGTCCCTCTCAAGACAGGGGTGGAAGAAGTATTCAGATAGTGTACTCAGTTACAAGTAAAAGAACAAAGTATCAGCATTAAAAAATGCTTAAAGTACCAAAAGTACTCATTATGCAGAATGGCCCAATTCATATACTGTATATATATATATATATATATATATATATATATATATACAGT